TATGCATGTCTTGTTTAGGCAATGATATTATTGAGATTTCATGGGTTCAGCTTTCTTGTCATGTCTAGAAGACACTATCTTGCAGCAGGCATCCTGGTCCTCTGGCTCACAAATCTTTCTGCTCCCTCTTCCAAGATCTTCTCTTTTATTTCTCACATATAAAGTTACACCCTAGCTGCAATACCCCCTGCTGAAAGATTATTGGCTCCTGCAACTCAGGTAACAGATTTTTTCAATTCACTTACCTTCTAGTCATACAGATCCAATTTTTATCTTGTACTTAGATGGTTGATTGACAACCATCTGAGTTTGACAAGAGTTTGGCAGGAGAATGAGTCATTTACTACTGGAGTAACTTATCATTGGGCCCTGATGAATCTTTTGACAAGACAGTTTTAGCATTATAGAACCTGTAGTGGGGGCCTACAGGGCTTTACACCTTAGACTTATCTGTTAATTAGCTATGTTTTTATATTCCTTTCAGTAATCTTTGGAAAGCATATCTTTGAGAAGATGAACTAGTAAGTTTATTTTAAATTAATATTGAAAAGTCTTCTAAAATCAGTCTAAGAGATGAGAAACACAAAACCCAAGGTAGGTTTTCAAATGGGCTAAAAAAATGACAACAAAATATGGGTAAATTTTAGTTACTTGCCTTCATTATCCCCATTTACATTACAAATCCTCCTCAAACAGTAATAACAATGAAATAAAAAATTTAAAAATATCTATGCAAGTGAGAATGAAAGCCTATGTATAAACGTTTACTATAAACTAAAATGCTACTTATACAAAGAACAATTTAAAAGTGCCTTTCTGCACCCAGCCTGTCCCACTGGTCCTCCTTCCAACATATGTGCAGCTCCTAAGGCATAGCAGCCTTTTGCAAGTTGTAAATCAGTCAGATTGCCTGGACTTGAAGTCTGACTTGCCACTTCCTAGTGATCGAGCTACTTAAAATAAGAATAATAAAAGCCCCACAGCGTTTCTGTGAACATTGAAAGAAGTACTCTTCATCTTGATTTTCACTTGTTATTTGTTCTATTATAAGGAGAATTGGATGAAATTTCTATTGTTTAGGAAACACTCAGGATAAAAGCAAAATTCTTAACATATTCATGCGTTGGAGTAGATAACAAGTAACCATCTGTTTCATACATGAAAACCTATTTTTAAATTTTTTTTTTGAGACAGGGTCTCCCTGTAGCCCCAGCTGTCCTGGAACACACTATGTAGACCAGACTGACCTTGAAATCACAGAGATCCCCCTGTCTCTGCCTCCCAAGTGCTGGGATTAAAGGCATGCACCACCATGCCTGGCCAGAAAAACCTATTTTTTTATGCAAGAACTTCTGGGAAAAAAAAAATTCTCCATTTCATTAACATAAAGGAATTCAAACATATATTCCTTATTTGTAATGCAGAAAGGGCAAGGAATAAAATCATTCATTAAAGAAGTCTTTAGTGTGTCTGAGAACTTTGATATTCTAGAAGTGCAGTGATTTGAGGTAGTGATGAACCTCTGCACCCACGAAGTCAGCCACCTATAGTGTTGGTGTAGATCGGGCTCAGCCATTTGGAGCAATTAGTAGGCCAATCAAAATACAGTAGTCCACACTTGTCCTGAATTTCTCTTTTTGAGGTTTCAGTTACTCAGTTTTGATTGTGGTTCTTCACATGGACAAAATTAACAGTAGGTTACTACTGTGCTACATGCCTTTTGCCATTTACCTAACTTCATCTGATCAGGTAGGCATTGAGCCATCATAATATAGGAATACAGTTATAAGATATGCTGAGATTTATTCCTACAACTTTGATGAAAGCATATGCTGTTTTAACTGTTCTATTTTATTAGTCATTACTGTTAATATTTTACTGTGCCTAATTTATAAATTAAACTGTATCACAGGTATGAATAAGGAAAAACAGTATGTAGGATTCAGTGACATCCTCAGTTTCAGGATCCAGTGGGGAATCTCAGAATGTCTCTCCTGATAAAAATAAGTCTTCTAACCTATTTTTCCATAGTTATCTCTCTAACATAGAAATACCAATACCCCAGAAAATTGCCACCAGAAACAAGGACTTAAAGATACTTACTTGCCTTGAGTAAGATGGGGTCTCACAGCAGTTTTAATTTGTATTTAACTGATGGCTAACAATGTCGAACACTTTTTCAGATATTTCTTGGTCAGTGGTATTCCTTTAGAGAACTGTATATTCAGCTCATTAGCCCATTTTCAAATGGATTATTTATTTTCAATGTTTAATTTTTGCAGTTCTTTATATGGCCTAGATATTAGCCCCCTATCTGATGCATACTTGAGAAAGATTTTTTTTCCCATTCTGGAGGTTGTATCTTCAGCAAGAAAACAAATGTTGGGGCCAGAGAGACAATTCAGTGGTTAAGATCATTGGCTGCTCTTGCAGAGGACCTAGGTTTGGTTGCCAGCACCCACATGTTGCTAACAATTGTCCGTAACTACAGTTCCAGGGGATCCGATGTCTTCTCACCTCCGCAGGCACTGTACAACATGGGTGCACTTACATACATGCAGGCAGTACACTCATACACATAAAATAAAATAAAAAATTTTTAAAAAGCTGGGTGTGGGGGCACATGCCTTTAATCCCAGTACTTGGGAGGAAAGGGCAGGAGGATCTCTGTGTGTTCGAGGCCAGCCTGGTCTCCATAGCAAATCCAGGCCAGCTTCTGCTACAGAGAGACCCTGTCTCAAAAAGACCAAAAACTAAAATAAATAAATAAATAAAATAATAAAGTAAAACAAAAATAGACTATTAAAAAAAGAAAATGTCAGGAAAAGGTGGTGTGGCTGTGGGGAAAGAGGAACACCCATACACTGCTGATGGGAATGTAAACTGGTGCCACCGCTATGGAAATCAGTATGGAGCTTTCTTAAAAACTAAAAATGGAACTTTCAAATGACCAGCTGTACCATTCTTGGGTATATACCTAAAGGATTCTAAACCAACATACTACAGGTATTGTACATCATATCTACTGCTGCAGTACTCATGAAAGTTGGGAAATGGAAGCAGCTTACACGTCTATCAACAGACTAATGGATAAGGAAAATATGGTGCAGAGGCTGGAGAGATGGCTCAGCGGTTAAGAGCACTGGGTTCCCAGTACCCACATTGCAGCTTACAACTGCCTGTAACTCCAGTTCCTGGAATTCTGATACTCTTCTCTGGCCTCTGTGGGCACTGCAAACACGTGCTGCAATTACATACACGGAGACAAAACACTCATACACACAAAATAAAATTAAAAAAAAAATTGGGAGGGTCTTTTTTGAGACAGGGCCTCCCCAGTATCCACAGCTGGCCTGGAACTCACTATGTAGACAAGGCTGGCCTCGAATTCAGAGATCCGTTTGACTCTGCCTCCCAAATGCTGGGATTAAAGGCGTGCGCCACCACGCCCGGCCTAAATAAAACATTTTTTAAAGAATAGAAACAGCTAGGTTCTGTGGCACATACCTGTAATCTGAGCAACTATGGATGCTAAGGCTAAGAAATCACAAGTTCCAGGATGGTCTGGGATACAAAGTCAATCAAAGCAATGTATGGAGATCCTGTCTCAAACATAAAAGGACTAAAGACGAAGAAAAACAAAAAGATATAAGTCAAAATAATACCCAGAACAAAGTACCGTAGTGCCCTCACCTTCACCCCCCCAACGGAAGCTACTTCTGCCACTTCTTACTGTGGAGAAGGATCAAATTATTTTTGTTTGTACTTCCTAAGAAGTTCCGAGGCTCTCTGTTTTCAGTTTTGA